GAAGGAACGACGACCCGTTATAGTGACGGAGAAATTTGCAGACGGGCGGCGGAAGGTGTCTTCAATCCTTGCAGACGGCTGGGCTCTGCAGCGGCGGAAGGTGGCGGAGACTTGACGGAGATGTTACAGTCAGTAGCCAATTAAGGGAGGACGACGGTGATGAGAGCTCCGGCGCCGGACCAGACGGCGGCGTATAAGGTGGCCGATCGGAGCTGCTTAGAGGATGGGCCGCGGAGGAAGGCGTGACGGAGATGGACCGGCTGTGACTTCGGCCGTTCGATGGCGACAGGCGGTGGTCTAGCAGCGGCCGTGGACGGCGGTGATGGTGAGCAGGCGGTGAGATGCCTGCTTGTATCTGTATATATAAATGTGATGTTCTGTGTTTAGGAAATAGTGAGTGGGCCCCAGATATAATTACATAAAATAATACTATATAATTAGGTTGGTAGATGATGATGTGTAGAATGTCTGTAATACCCTTAATGAATGTCAAGTTTTGAATTTTTGTTAGCCATTAGATCATCCGATCTAATGGCTACGATGCATTCTTATTTGTTTCATGAAGTATCATTCTCACTTGAACCCAACCCTATATATATATATATATATTTGAACATTGACCAATATTCAGTCTTATTATGGATGAAAAGAGAAAGAAATCGATTGTCATATAGTGATAAGAAATTCAAACAAAATAGACAGTTCAACCAACAAATAAAGTTAGTTGCAATATTTTGGAATTATCCAACAAGAATCCAATTTATCCAACAAGATTCCTAATCGAGTGAGAACTTTTGGTCCAATTTCAATTTTAATTTCAAACAATTAGATTATGTAATGCTCATTTTTATTTTTTTTTTAGTACAGGGACCTTCCGGTTTCCGGATCCACAAGGGAACCGACTAATCCGGAATCGAGCCGGACAGGACAACAAGGGCGGCAAAGCTCTCCCTCAAGAGTTTTAACACTGCTGCATTTCCAGGACTCGAACACGAGACCACTGGTTAAGCTGGAAGAGACCCAAGTCATCTCATCCAAGCGCTCTTGGGTGTAATGCTCATTTTTTAACTTATATAAAAATTCTCCCACCAAGCAAATTATTGTTTATAATCCACATGAAACTTTTACTTATAATGATGAAACACCGTGTATTACACGAATGTTTGTTAAAATATATATTTAAAATTAAAAATAATAATAAAATATATTTTAATGTTTAAATACTTTTTTGATTAACTATATTACTATTTATATTTAAAATAACACTTATCACTTATACATGTTACATTGTAATATATATATTTGAATTTCATCATTTAACGACTTTGTAGTTAAATTGATTTAAATAATTTAAACAATAAGTATTTTAATGGTTATTACAAAGATAGATATAATTATATAAATATTTTTTTGATGTACAATATAGATGTCAAATCGATTCTAATCGAGACATGATTAATTTGATGTATTATGTATAAAAATATGATAATAAATAAAAATTTATTAACTTTTAAACCTACTTTTAAATTATGTTAGTAATTGTTTCATTATTTTAAAAGAAAAATGAGGAAAAAAGAAGATTGAGGAAAAAATTATGACGTATGTATGACATCTAGAATAGAAAATGTAACATAATAAATGCTCTTAAAAAGACCCATAAATATCTAGTATATTTCTAGTTTTTACAAACCTAATAATTTTTTATTGAATGTAAATTAAAATTTATTCAAATAAAATGACAAAACATATAAATATGCGCATATGAGTCTGTTACTTAGGCTTATCGCATTCGAAAATTATATATAAGGGAATTTGAATTGATTTTTAACTCCCTAGACAAATAATTATTTGTTGATTTTGCCTGAGAATAAACCTTTAAATAATAATAATTCATTAAAGGGTGCAAACGAACATAGATTATTTATTGAAAAATGTAGTAAAGTTATGGAAATTTTGAAAAAAAAAAAAAATGTATGGGAGAAGGATAAATTTTTATTTCATGAATAAATATGAGATAAAATATAATAGTTAAACTGTATGTGATATGAAAGTAATAAAATAATAATTGTAAGTAATTTATAGTTAAAAATAGATTCACACATTAGTGACAAAAATTTATCCACCAAAAACAAGAATAATTTATGATCTATAATGAATCAATATTCTCAATTAAAATTAAAATACATCATGTAAATTATATAATCTAGGGAGATTCTACGGAATCATTTCGTCTGAGTTTGTAATCGTTAGATCAACTATACACAACGGTTACATAATGATTTAACGTTATAAATCTCGTCAAAATTGTTCTGTAACGAGACTGTAGTATTTCCGTAACCTGTAATGATTCTAAATTCTCAATTAAAATTAAAATACAGCTCTCGTGACTTTTGAGCTGCAACTCTAAACTCCTCCAATTGCAAATCATTGAGCTCCAATTTTTCTACAACACTTCACCCAAAAATTAGTGGAATTACCACTGTACAGTCTGTACTTCTACCAGACACCATTCTTGAGCTAGCTTCATTTCCACACTTACACTCAACAACATATAATACAATTGCCACTCAGCTTTGTATACTTTCAGCTCCTTCAGTCAAGAAACAAAAGGAGCTGCCTTCTTTATTTTGAACCCAAGTGAGTAGCGACCAAAAAAAAGGAAAAAAAAAAAATAAAAAAATCCATTCTTTTAATGGAAAAGCTACGATTTTTGGGCATACCGATCTTGCTTTGCTTCACATTCTTGCTATTACAGCCAAAATGCAGCTTTTCTGAAACCCTAAACGAAGGGGACAGACAAGCATTGCTTGATTTTCTGAAAGAATTCCCCCATTTACGCTCTCTGAACTGGACCGAGGATTTTCCGGTGTGCGAAAATTGGAAAGGAATTACCTGCGGCGAGGGCGGCAAAAGGGTCACGGCGGTAAGGCTCCCTGGTGTCGGCTTTCACGGGCCCATCCCTGAAAACACTCTCAGCCGTCTGTCGGCCCTGCAGATCTTGAGCCTCAGATCCAACGGCATAAACGGGACCTTCCCGCCTGACCTCGGCGGCCTGAAAAACCTCACCTTTCTTTATCTTCAGTACAACAATTTTTCAGGGCCCTTGCCTTTGGATTTCACCTTGTGGAGCAATTTGAGTATTGTTGACTTGTCTCATAATCGGTTTAATGGCAGCATTCCTAGCTCGTTCTCCGGTCTGAGTCGACTCACTTCCTTGGATCTTGCTTTCAACTCTTTGTCTGGTGAGATTCCTGATTTGCCCTTGCCGAGCTTAGGTTTGCTCAACCTGTCTTGTAATAATCTCGTTGGTAGTGTGCCAAAGTCACTTCAAAGGTTCCCCAAATCCGCATTTGTGGGTAACAATCAATCTTTGTTGGATTACACTGTCGTAAGCTCGCCTCTCGTTTTAGCCCCTCGAGAGAACGATTCGAGAAGCAAGAATGTGAGGAGATTGAGCGAGAGTGCTTTACTTGGGATTGTGATAGCTTGTTCTGTTCTTGGTATTCTTGGGTTTGGTTTCCTTTTATTGGTTTGTCTGTTCAGGAGGACCCCGAATGACGAGGAAGGTTATAATGGTAATTTGGAGAAGGGTGGGCATATGTCGCCCGATAAAGCGATTTCCCGAAGCAAAGATGCGAGCAATGGGTTAACTTTCTTCGAGGGGTGTAATTACGCTTTTGATTTGGAAGACCTGTTGAGGGCTTCGGCTGAGGTTTTGGGTAAGGGCACGTTTGGGACGGCTTATAAGGCGATATTGGAGGATGCCACTATGGTGGTCGTGAAGAGGTTGAAGGACGTGAGTGTCGGGAAGAAAGATTTCGAGCAACAAATGGATTTAATCGGGAGCATAAAGCACGAGAATGTGACAGAGTTAAGGGCTTATTATTACTCGAAGGATGAGAAGCTCATGGTTTACGATTATTACGATCAGGGGAGTTTAGCTTTAATGCTGCACGGTATGTTGTTCTTGTTTAGTTTTCAAGTTTCAACTTCCCATTAAATCGTTTTTGGTTATGAATTCTATTTTTCGATTCTTGTTCGTGTGATGAGAATGAATGCAGGCTCTATCATCTATGGCAATTGGCAAATAATGATTTTGCATCTTTTGATTGTTAATCAATAACCATCATGGAATAACAAGATTGTGATTTTGTTGTGTAGTCCAGTTGAGAATTAAAATATCACTTTTTTTTGGGGTGAAAAATAAATTTAATGTTCCTAGGAGCTTAACTAATTTGTTTATTAATTGCTATTATTGGTAGGACTTGCAGCAACCTTGAGTACCAACTAAAGTGAAAAAACAGCTCTTTTAGATTGTCTTTACAGCTAGGACAGGTGAAGAAGGTTTACCAACCAAACCCACAGGAATATCTTCAACCTTTGTGTCGATGAAATCGACTCTTTTATTGCATCATTTTTATTTATTTTTAGTTCTTTTTTTATGTAATGAAACTTTTCTTGCTGTTTTTTGCTCTTTTGAACTATTATAGGTATAAGATAACAAAAGCTTCAGTATTACAATGTTCGCCTTCTTGCTTTTGAGTTGAGTTGATGATGACTATACCGTTGCTCAATAACTCATATTTTAGAGCCAATTGATATTAATTACTCTACTTGACAAGCATTAACATGTAAATTTTAGTTTGCCCTTATAGATACCACTAAGGCTGTGCTCGGTAAGCATATAAGCTAGCTTATAGCATATTTGATTAGCTTATAAGCTTTCTGTATTCGCATAAGTTTGGTTTTGCAGGACGAGCTTTTTTTACAAGCTCGAGTTTATCTCATAAGCTTCCTTAGGTAGCTTTTCAAATAAACCCATTGAAAATTTTATTTCAGCTAATTTTACTAAACACTTTTATCATATTAACTAGTTTTTCAGCCATAAGTTATAAGTTATAAGCTCGAGATTCACTTAAAAGCTATAAGCTAGGTTTACCAAACATAGTCTAACCTAAGGTGTTTTCTTTTCCTTTTTTTTTTCTGTTTTCTTTTAATACTTGCAGGAAAACATGGTGAAAATCGGACCCTCGACTGGAATACCCGACTCAAAATCGCGATTGGTGCAGCTAGGGGCATGGCCCGTATCCACACGGAGAACAATGGTAAATTTGTCCATGGAAACCTTAAATCTTCCAACATCTTCCTTAACTCCCAACAATATGGATGTGTCTCCGATCCGGGCCTCTCGGTTATAATGACCTCACTGGTTCGTCCCGTGGCCCGCGCCTCGGGCTATCGTCCCCCGGAAGTCTCAGACACCCGCAAGTCGACCCAATCATCGGATGTTTATAGCTTCGGAGTCATACTACTCGAGCTCCTCACGGGCAAGGCGCCGGTACACGCGGTGAATGGGGATGAAATTGTAAATTTGGTGAGGTGGGTCCACTCGGTTGTCCGGGAGGAGTGGACAGCCGAGGTTTTTGATGTCGGGCTTTTGAGGTGTCCGAATATAGAGGAGGAGCTAGTGGAGGTTTTGCAGATTGCGATGGCGTGCGTGGGAAGGATCGCGGACCAGCGGCCGAAGATGTCTGAGGTGGTCGGAATGGTTGAAGGGGTACGAGGTTTCGCGAGTAATTAGGGAGGTTTTTGGAGGGTAATTCTGAGAATTTAGTTTCATGCTAGGTGTTTTTTCAGAGTATTTTTCTGGAGTTGGAAGTTCACTATCTTGGTGGTGGTTTTTGGTGGTCATGGGACTGGAAATTCAAGAAGCTGTGTCTTTGTTTAGCTGTTGTTTTTGTATGCGGATTGTGAAGCAAATATGTTGATGCAAATTTTTTTTTTTATTATTTTTTTATTACATACTACTACATAGTCGATGTAGCTATTAGTGGGCTGGGCTTAATGTATTTGGGCCAAATGTTTTGGATAAGGGCCTGTCGGGTCGGCTTTGTTCTCACTTCTCATAGCTAGGCCCAGGCCCCCAACCACAATTAAAATTTATGAAATATTAGTAATAATTAGATTACAAATGTTTTATTCTTATTCTTTTTTTTTTTTATGAAATATTTATACATTTTATATTATGAATATTTTTTTATTCTTGTCAATGAAGGACATTTTCTCTGAAATTAACGCTGTCTGCCTCGGAAAAGATTAGCAACATCAAAATATTGGTATAATAAAATAAAATAAAAGGACTTAAAAAAATATTCATCTTTTTCCAAATTATTATTACAGTAAAATTAAGATAATATTTAAAAATTTTATATTATATTTTTTCATCAGATTAATAACATAATTAAAAAACAGGTCAGGCTATGCTAAATCAGTTAATATGTGAATTGAATTCTTCAAGGGTCTGCATGTGACCTCACCGTCAAGTCCAAGCCCCGCATTTCCCGCAGTAGTGGGCCCCACTTCTATCTCATCTCATATAAATAATAAAACATTTATAAAATGTTTGTAAAATAAATATATATATATATATATATATATATATATATAAATCAATCTCAGCTTCTTTTTTATTTTTATTTTTATTTTTAATTTCAGTTCACCAAATACACAAAGAAGGGGTCCTCCAACTTATACTTTAGTAATATTTTCTATTGAAATTACAACAACTAGGGGTGTATATAAGCCGACCTCAGCTCGTTAACTAATTAACGAGCTCAACTTCGTTTTATTTATTAGTACTAATGAGCCAAATTTGAGTTTTACCCTAACTATAGACAATACATAAAAAAATTTGTATCTTGGAGTCTTAATGGCGAAGCTTGGCTCATTAACTAAACAGACTCGAACTCGACTCATTTATCAAATGAGTCGGTTGAGCCAAACTCATAAAAGACTCGTATCGTTTAAATTACACTCTGCATGATATATTAATCTCTCTCTAACAAGTAACAACCAAGTTTAAGTATACCAAAATAAATTATTATAAGTAGAAAATGATAGATATCTCGCATTAATGATAGGAAAAAATGAATGGGAGGAGTAAATAAAACAATATAATCCTCCCATCGGGTTGGGAGAGTGGCTACATCATGATCTAATCGGGGTTTTCTATCCCTGCCGAATTCTGAACTAGACGTACTTTAGGCCTTTGACCTCCTTTTTTATAACACAAAAAAAAACAATATAATTAATAATACTTACTACTTTTAGTAATATGTTCTTACTAATTTTAGTAACCAACTTTAATACTGTTGCATGGTCCCAAAGTTTGCTAATACCGATGATGACAGTCATATGGGATATGGCTATTTTTTTGTTTCGTGCTTTGGTAGGGAGTGTTTGGACCTCGCTGCCACTCGAGCGGCCCAATAGGCTTGAGACTGCGTAGGCCCACTTTACGTTACCACACAAATTACAACTTTACCCCTTAACAATGAAGAAATTTCCGGCCCATGGTGAACCAGTTATTTTTGGAATAAAGAAACCAATATACAACAGACTCAAATTTTATGTCATAATGTTGAGTTTTGCCAGCATCAAGCATGACTAGACATGAAATTGAAAAGCTAGCGAAAATTCTATGTAGCCTCAAGTACAATTAAAGTTTAAATGAGTTGAGCCGAGCTCGAATTTCTGGTAATCGAGTCGAGGCTAGAGCCACCGAACTCAAAAGAAACAAGATGATAAAGGCTCAAACTCAGTTCAATTATCAATATTAACGAGCTGAAATCTATATATATAATTGCTGGCATATAACATTTAATAAAACATTTAATAAAACCTCCATTCATTTTCCCGCTCATTTATTCAATTAATGTAGAACCGTTACATTTTACATTAATAAAGTGTAATAATAATTTCAATATAATTTATTCACTACTAACACTAATTGATTACAACTTTACATTAAATAGTATGTGGAAGTTATGCAATTTTTTTCTTTAAATTTTATCTAATTAGTTAATTGGCATGAATGTCATAATTAAACAGCTTAAAAATCACATAAACAAATGCTATAACAATGATAAAAATAATCGTAATACTTTTCTAACTAATTAATTGTATAGTCCCTCTAAATTACTAAATTATATTAACTATTAAAATTTGTGGCATCAATATAAAGATTCATACGTAAGTTAAATAAATTATATTCACATTACACATTTGCATGTATTTCAAAATTAAAATGTAATACATCAATTGTTTAATATAAAATTTGTATATATTGTATACATAAATATAATATATGAATTTTTATTTTTCTTTGTGCATGTGCAGAGGATGAATACTAGTAACTCATAAAATATTAAAAAAAAAAAAGAAATAGGTAAAGATATTTATTCTCGAACCTTAATGAGTCGGACTCGTTTAAAACTCATTTAGTTAATTAGCAAGTTGAACCAAGCTAGAGTCTTAATTAGCAAGTCGATCTCACGAGCGAATCTTTTCGTTTACCAACTCTAAGTAAATTTAACATGAATTAAAAACTAAAACTTATGATATATGTCTCAATTTGATTCTATTTATTTATTATTTATTAATTAAATTGATTATTTTTTAAAAAATGATACTCCATCTTAATATCATTTGTTCATTTTTGAAACAACGAATATATATGATGATAGGCTTATTATTTAAAGTTTGGTAGCTCACTTGCAAACTACAAGATATTAACATTTAGGACGAAAATAGATAAAGAATTTAAGGCTAATTAATGCCAAATTGAGTGATTTGACTATTTATGTTCTTGAATTATTTTATTTGTTGTCGGAGGGATTTTAATAGGTTTGAACCATTTAGGTACATGACTCATAATTTTGGCACTCATCATAACTCTATAAATATAGTGAAATAAATTAATTAATTACGGGTCGTATTGGTGCAATCTTAACTGGTGAATTTATTGTCATCACCTAAACCATTAACTAGCAATAATTAAGGTCATGCAATGTTTTCAAGATTTTTTTTTTTTTGTAATCAATTTTCGTTTATTTACTATTGTAATGTTTTACTTCAATATTTTGTATAATAACATAAATACGCAGTTAATAAGTCCAAATTTTGTGTTTCTCGTTTTTCGTATCGTACTTCAGGTCGTTGTATCGTGTTTTGTTCGTGTCGTTTTTTTTCTCTATAATGGTCTTTTCTAATCACGATGTGTCGCCGTGTCGGTACCGTGTTTGAGATTAATTATGAAATTGGTTGATTAATTCTGATAGAAGTAACATAAGTTGATGCATAAATAAAACAATTAGATCTGATCCCCTGCCCACGGTGGGCAGTGCCCACCAAAAAATTTTACATGAAAAACGTATTTTGAGAATACGTTTTTCTATTAACGTATTCTCAAAATACGTTTTTCATGTAAAATTTTTTAGTGGGCACTGTCCACCGTGGGTAGGTGAGCAAAACCAATAAAACAATAGTAATGTTGATAGAAATTATGTTATATTTTAATTTAAAAATAATATATTTACTATGCCAAAAATTTTCAAGTTGAACGATGTGTGTGGTTGGTACTGTACATATACAGGGTCAGATGAGAAAGCAGTACTGAGGCCTGAGACCATAATACGCGTTGGGAAGTGAATAGCGCTTTTGGTGTAAATATTATTACACTTATCATTTGATAGCATCAAATCCTAGGTTGCCTGCCATGTTCACGCCTCCTTCATGCTAGCTGCAAACTGTAAAAAGCCCGAGAAAAAAAAAAAAAAANNNNAAAAAAAAAAAGCAAATTAAAAAATAAAATGCAAGGGGATATAATAAGTTGATAAATCAAATACATTGGAAGAAATAATCGTCCAGGACTAGTCTTTGTGTCACCCGGTCAAGCGGATAATTTAGACATGTCCACGGGCCAAACCGTCCCGTGAAACGATCCCAGCCGGCCCAAACCGGCCCTGAATTGGCCTCCTAAGGGCCGGTTCGTGGAACGTACCCTTAGGGCCGCAGTTTGGTCCCGGGTCATACTTTTTATTTATTTATTTTTTTTTTGTCCTGCTGGTCTGCCGGGTCGGATCCGACCACGGGTCGGTCAGCTGGCCACAATGTTAAATTTTTTAAAGGGTCGCATCAGTCGGTGAACCGGCGGTTCAGGACTAGTTCTATGAACCGGCTCATATAAACGGGCGGGCCAGTCACATGCTATGAGACCGAGGCCCGCCGACCCGAGGGGCCGGGCCGAGTTGCGACCCGACATTTGGCCAAGTCTAGGATAATTATTGTTTTTAAAATGAATTGTATTTTATACTTTTTTTATTACATAAATGTACATAAAATATAAATAACATTTATATGCATTTTATACTATATAATATTCATAATTATTCAGCTCATTTTGTCTTTTTAGGGATGTTTTTGCTATTTTTTCTATTATTATTATTATTATTTATTTATCTGCACTTAAAATGTCTTCAACTTATTATGCTACTGGCCTACCACGTGTAAATTTTTTTTTTCAATTAACATTAAGAAACTGCCACGTCTGTGTATCCACGTGATAAAGTAATTACTCTGTAGTAATGACAATTACAAAAAAGTCCCATCATAAATCGTCCTTAAAATGAGATTAGCAAAAGGTAAATTAATTATACGGCTATCGACCACGCCGTTAAAGATAATTCAGTCAAAGATTGTCAGACGCGTTGGTAATCGGCCACTTTGACTGACAAGATTAACGGAAACCACTCACTCCGTTTGTCACGTGAGTGTAAATCAAATAAAACAACGTTAAGCTTATCAAAGGTCCCATCAGATTCGGCGGCTCGTTTAACAATTATATCAAATCAATGAAACAAAATTCATGCTTGAATTCATGCAATTTTGTTATAGAGTTTTTAATTAGTTCAAAACATTTTTGATAAAAAAAAAAATATATATATTCTGAAAACGAGACATTCGTGAATTCGTTTGGTTATGGTTCAAGGCTCAAGCTTTGTTTAGTCAATTATGAGTGGGGCTGAGATTGACTTACTAGCTAAAATAAATACATTTGTTTTTATATAATTTTCGATACGTCTCAAGATAAATTTGTTAGTATTAATAAATGTATTGACTTTGAACTACAGTTCAACTCGTTTCAATAAATACTCAGCTCAAAATCGAGTATCAGGAGTTCGAACTCGACTACATTAGATAAATGCTCGAGCTAGAGATTAAGTATCAGGAGCTTAAGCTGGACACATTTAAATTCTTATTCTTATAGGGAACAAAGAGATTATATTAAATGTCAGATGAGTACTCTTTCCCATTAAATTTTTCTTACTAGTTGAGCAATTTTGAACCGTTAAATCAACACACACCCGTAATAGTATGCACGGTTGTGTGATCCGTTGTATAACTTTAGTTACTAAATGAGCTTCTAAGCGTATCAATAGCGCTACCATATAAATTTAAAGATTGTTTATTATGATATATATTTTGTCTCAATGATTTAAATACCGTACCGTATCATGCCGGTATTCCGAGTAATACCAGTGGTTTGATGGTACTAATATAGCATATAAGAGTAGCCCGATAGAACCGTACATGACTAGTTCAGTCTATCAAATATACCAGTAGCTCAACTTTAATAAGGATACTAGGTAGCTCGGCTCGTCAAAGAGTTATAGCAGTCCAACTTATTGGAGTACGAGTAGCTAGTTTAGTAAGGGCATTTGTAGTTCGGCAGAGTTGATAGCTCGGACTATTAGTAGCCCGGACAATAGATATTCAGATAGCTCGGACTATTAGTAGCCCGGACAATAGATATTCAGATAGCTCGGCTTAGTGGTGGATAGAGATGTGGGGGGCTCGGTCTTTAAATAGCTCGACATAGAGGAGACAGAGCTGATCACGGAGTTAGGAGCTCGACACGCGAATAGTTTGGCAATGGCAACTAGATCGGGCTGGTCGCGGGTTATGATGGAAAGCCTACCTGTAATAGTGTTTTTACAGGTTAAAGGCCGAGCCATTGAGACGACTATTAAATTGGTCCGCGTAGGACACGTGTAGGGCTATGATGAAGGAAGGAACAAATGATATGACGAACGAGGAAAAAAGCGTACAAGAGAAACTAATAACTCCATATAAATAGGTTAATCACACTCTACAAATCCTAATCAGTACATACAGTAACATACATATGTCTTCTATCTTTACTGACTTGATCTTCGCCAAAAACACCTCCCGACGTATTTTGCAGGTCTTTGAGAGAGCAAGCGATAGAAGATCGGAGGAAGGCCGGTTCGAGGTGCAGGAGCACATCAAGTACGGTTACACTGTAAATAAAAGGTTTCATACCGGAAAATACCAGTTTATCGATAAATACCAGTCAAAATACCAGTTTATTAAAAATAAGAGAGTATATTTTAATATATTTTCAAAAAAGGAACTAAAGGTGTCCACAAAAACCCGACCAGCTCACACATATTTTAGTGCCCACGACTCCACCTCAAGCAGCATCCAATCTCCGTCTCAGTACCTAATATCGTCTGTATTTTTTTCTATCTCTAAAAAGTAAAAACACACACACACACACACACTCACCAAGAAAAAAATAATATAATAATACTAATAAAAAGCAAATCTCAAATTTTCTCACACTTCACCACAAGTTATTCACTCATGACTCACCACACCAAAGAGAAAAGCAGAGAGAGAGAGAGGAATCCAAGTTTCCATCTAGGCTTTATATTCTAAATATTCATATACATCATCCTTTTATTGAAAGGAGAAAAAATATCGAGAAAAAATATCTTCATATTGTTCTTGATATTCTCATTTCTGGGCTTTTATTACATCCTCTGTTTTTTTTTTTTTGTTCATCTTCTTCAACAAAATATCAGAGGCAATGGTCCTTTTCAAGCATCACGTTTCCTCGAAAGTTTCTTAGTATAAATTGCGCCAAGATTTTATTACCCTTTTCCTTATTCTCCCAGAAATCCCTTTCGCTTTGAATGAGAATCTGAAAAACCCCCCGAAAAAATAAGTAGAAACAGAGAACAAGAAGAAAAGGGACAACAATGGAGTTTTTTCACCTTTCTGCTGTGATGGAAGAGAAAACAAAGGTGCCCGTTAAAAGGGTCAAATACACGGAGCACTTGAGCCTGAGCACGACCGTTACAAGACCGACGGAATATTCCGTTTCCGTCGGGGAAAAATCTTCTCCATATGAGACGTCCGTTAGGACGGTGCGGATTTCCGTCACCGACGCCGACGCCACGGATTCCTCCGGCGATGAGGAGCTCGGCGGCGTCGGAAGGCGAAGAGTGAGGAGATATGTCCACGAGATCAGGATACGTCCTTCCGGCGGCGGAGGATACGGCGTCCCGACCAATCGCCGGCGTGGCGCGCCGAGGCGGAGGGCAC